GGAAAGCAAAAGCTTAAAGAAAAAGAAACTCAAGAAAGCAGAATCATTAATCTGTGTTGATTTCTGCTAGATCCACTGAGGAGAACCATAGGAGTTTGCCTATAGTGTATTTTGAGCCATTACAAAGAGTCTCATCTAAAGGCAATGTGCACTTACGTGTTAATTCATACGTCGTTAATGCAGAGCTGCTGTTCACTGTCTTGAAGCTGCTTTGGGCTATTCAGGGTAAGCAAAGCAGAAAGCTTGTTACAGTGCAAGGAAATAGTTATTGCAAATGATGTAAAGCAGAGACAGAGGCAAATGATGCAGCACACACATACACAGTTCGAGCTTTAGGACTATACCTTGAAGGGCAATAAAATCACATCACACTCTCATAGCACATCAAAAGCACCTCACTCGCACGGGGCTGTTTCATTTCCTCCTCAAACAGAGAATCTCACAAATACACAACACAGAAATGTTCTGACTCCTAGATTAAATAGAACAAATGAGTAAAACCGAAACAATTTCTAGGGGGGAAACTCTCAACGCTGTATTACATCCTTGTTTCTCAATGTGCAAAATTCAAAACCTGAAGAGCTGCAGGGTAAAGATGGGCCACAAAGAGCGAACGCTTACAATAGGACAGGACCTCTTTCTTTAAATGTGTGTTACATTTCCCACAGTTTCACTTCTAGAATTCAGTAGTCCTGCTGTGAGTGAATTCTAATAATATGTTAAGCTGTGCAAAGCCGAAGGTCAGTGAGGAACAGAGGTGTTGTAAGGTAAGAATTGTCAGATTATGAGGAGAAAGAGGGAAATTTCTCCTAAAATACACTTGTCTCCACCCCTTTCTCTCTCTTGACTCCCTGGAGAAGTACAGCACGGTTTTTCTACTCTACAGCTATTAGGAAGACAGCTGCAAGGCCAGCCAAGAAGAGGGAAGAGAGGAAACTGGTAGGCTTCACAGGCTCCCTGGCTTGTGAGACTAGAGAGCATCCAAAGTCATTATTTCATGATAATATATACAGTCAGTCATTCAACTTTTCTCTCGAAAAAAACACTCATGCATACCTACATCTATATGAGCTTTACCTCCCTACTCTGCCCTGGTTAAACCTCTGCACAGTCTGAGAAGTCTCATTCAGTACTGACCATCTAAGTGAGGTCAGAGTTCAGTGCTCATGTTGTATTTAAAGCATCCTCTTTTTCCACACCCCCACAAAATTCACACTTGCTTTCGTAGAAACCACTTTTACGGGTTCAGGGAAACATGGAAGATGATGTAAGATATTAAAAGAGTCTCACTCAACCCTATTCTGCTGCTCTTAGAGTGAGTATTATCTTATTCTGAATATTCCACTGACATCAAACAGGACAAAAGCTGATCCCTCTGTGAGCATGTCTCATTGCTGGACCATATCTGTCAGGCTACTGAGTGCTCACATCTTTGCATCCCATCATCTTATTCTGCCTATTCTTCCCTTTGATTTCCTTTCTAGCCTTTGTCTAAAAATCCTTTTAATCTTTCTATTATTCCTCTCCCTCTATACCTTCTTTCCATGTGAGCCAAAAACCCCAGCGACTAACATGGCAAGCATGTGCCTTAAAATTCTTGCTCATTTTTGCTATATTCTTCCAAAATAGGGACAAGCACTCTGAAATTGCAAAAACTCTATTTAAAATTTCTCCTCAGCTGTCTTCTTATACTGCAAAAAGAAAAACAAAATGTCAATTATAAAAACTATTAAAAAATAGCAAGAAAGAAAAAGGTTCCCAGCTGAGGAAAATGAAGTGTCTCTCTTTTCTGTCTGATGGCAGAACAAAGTATACCAGGGTAATCAGGAAATGGAGGTAGCAGAAAGTAGGAAATCAGAGGATACATGGGGGACAGAACATCAATTCAAGCACGCTGGCATAGATTAGCATGTACCATTACGAACGATGCTGATCAGACAGAAGTTATTAGCATTTTTCAGCATCTTCACCTTGATTGTGTAAAAGCTAAATTATCCCTAGGATTCTTAGACACAATTGTGTGTTATTTTCATGGGGCAAGAGGGCATATAGTGTCTGGTATAATGACAGATTGCCATTTTAGGATATTATAGGGTCCAAAACACAGGCTTACGTGTGAGCTCTGCTCTTAAAGCTGAAGGGTTCTGGATGGTTTTGGATTCTACTCCAGATCCAGTGTCGTAATCCAGCTCCCGATAGTAGATCCGGTATCCCAACAGCAAGCCATTTAGACTCTCAACTTTGGGTGGCTGAAAAACATTCACAGTAAGAACGGACTTGTTAAGATGTGTGTTGCAGCAAGCATTCATTGCAATGGGCAGCAGCTGACATCGGTCCTGTGTGAAGGGACACAGTGTGCTCTGGTGAAAATAGCCTTTAATAATATACAGGTCAAAGGTTGTGCAATTTGAAAAACACAAGTTAAAGGCAACTTTGATGATTTCAGTCAGCTGCGGCAATTACAAAAGGCTCTTTACTTACAAATTGACACCTGATGGACTACACTAAGAGCTAAGCTCCTTTTCTTCTTGGTCCACAGAAACTCTTGTGTGATAAAGAATATAAATAAGCATGTCCCTGAAAACACATGTTGCTGGCCACCAACAGTGGAACAGCAAAACAGTATTTCACTTCTTCCGAGATGAAAAGAAATAAATTATTTTGTAAAAGACAGAATTTCTTTAGTGGCTATTTTCCTTGGGGACCCTTCATGGAACATTCTTCATTTGGCATTATTTTACTGAAAGACTGATGAGAAAATAACGAAGAATTGGTGCATTCTGGCTTTAATTAGGAAGATGAGAATAGGACTAACAGCCTCAGAGAGGCATTTAGAGAGGAGTCACAGTATGATGGACCCTGGTGTGTTGCATAGGTGCAGTCCCACAGGCAAACCCAGGTCTCCTCCATAACAGCTTGGAGCAGTATGGTATGAATGGCCGTTGGGCTGGCTCAGATTTGAGTTTTTTTTTCTTCTGCAACATGCTGGAAGATGCTCAAAGACATAGTACCTCAGCAAGGATTCTTCAGCAGCCCCTCACATCTTCTTTCAGATACAGATACACAGGCAGTACACCGAAAAGGAGATTTCTGTCTGAATGGCTTGCTTAAAAAGAGACAAGCAAAGGGATTCTTCATATTTGGAAAAAAAATTACTTTCATGAGTCTAATACAGGCTAAGAATTGCAGAGAAGAAATGACGCCCCTGAGCCATTTATCTTCTAAAGATTCTTGTACTGAAATTTAAGGGGCTGAAAGCATAAATGAAAAGGATTTTAATGATGATCTCGCCTTTAATCCAGAAAGAATCCTAGCAGTCTTGAGAACTTTACTAAGGAAAATCTTCTGTCCATTGTGGAGAAATTAACAGCTGGTGTGAAATGCTGTCACAATAGAAGGTAACACCACAAGTAATTTTATTGAAGAAAGAAAGAATATTTTTACAGGAAAGGAGGAAGATATTTGGTAATAACCTAGCATTCTGCTTCCAGAAATGACAAGAATTTTCTATTACTTCATTATGATGGGAAGAGGAAAGAGAGGGCTGTCCTGTCTCAGTGCAAAGGACTTTGCTTTGAGTCAGGGCTAAAGGAATTAAATAGAAGGATTGCAGTTTATGGAAACCAAAAAAGAAAATTATGTGAACCAGTGTAAGAAAGCTACACAGCTACCAGGAAAGGAGGAGAAACTGCTCTGGCAAGAAGCCGCCTTCTTTTGCACTTATCCTGTGCAGAGCCTGCTGAAAGCAATCCAAATAGTCCCAAGATGTTGCTGTACTTGCTCTGCATGGTTGGAGGACCTCATCCATCATTGTCTCATGCTCATTATTGTGCTCCATCCTTTGCAGAAGCTCTGACCACCTTTCACTATTATTTAGCATCTGCGTTACAGAATGATCTAGGAACATAGGATTGTGAGGGACCTCAAGAATCATCGGGACTAGGCCCTCAAGACTGCAGAAAGTCAGCTTCTTAAAGTCCTTTTCACAAACAGAGCAATCTCCACCAGAAAACAAGCTGATTTTTCTGCTTCCCAGTATTCCTGTTGGAAAGCTGTTTCAAGCCTCACTGCTTGGGCGGTTAGAAACCTTCATTTAATTTCTAATCTAAATAATTCATAGCTAGCTTATAACCATTTGTTCCTGTGCTAACATTGCCTTTTGGGTTAAATTGTTCTTCTCCCTATGGGGTGTTTATTCCTGTGATGTATTTTAAAAAGGGCAATCATATTCCCTCTCAGACTCCATGTTACAAGGCAAATAAAATAACCTCTTGTACAACAGCCTTTCCCAGTCTCAGATCAAGCCCCCTGTCCAAGGGATTGAGCAAACAGACCAAAAAAAAGCAACAGCCTTCTCCAGGGCTGCCTGATGACGATCGCTCATGGATCAGCTGAAACATTCTCCTCTGCAAAGTGGAGAAGATGAGATACGGTTTACTGGGAGTTACTAGTGTATCTATCATGATTTTTTTTTTTTTTCTTTTTTCTTTTCCAATCTTCCAACTTTCCCCATTTGTTTTCCATAGTATACTGAAGTTGCTTTAGCCCTGCCGGTGCCCTAGCAGAGAAGGTCTCCACAGCACGGCAGTGTCCTTGGCTCCTTCTGTGCTGGCAGGGAGGACTCACAGCCTGAGGACTGCCTTCTGCAGCGAAAGGGTAAAGGAAGTGCATCACAACTTGAGCGCATCACCACAAAGGAGGAGAGAGGCTGCAAGAAAACAAAGCCGATCCAATATGGAAATAAACTTCACGCAAGGAAAAAAATACTGTGGACGTTACATAGATTCGTATTTCAGCTAATTATTACCTAGAGGGAAGGTGCTCGTGGAAAGATTCAATGTCTTTTCCTATTTTAACTATTAATAATTTTTTTTCAATTTTAAAAAAAAAAATTGAGGTGGAATATCCTACAGAACCTTAAAAGAAAAACACTGCTGAAGCTGAGAAAGAGACTATTACTCCATGCTCTGCCATATAACAGCCTAACAGATAAAGCTTGATTCCTCATTGCGGTACAGCTGTGATTTGTTGATAGCAAACATTGTTTCCTTATGCTTTCATGTGATTCTCAATGTTTTTCCTTCCTTTACATTTAGGACAGGAAAGCTTAGAAAATAAATGACTTGAAAACTGTCTTTCTCCTTGCCATGGAAATGATGATTCTTTCCTGAAAAGGGTACTCTGCTAAAAGGTCAGGTCTTCCTCTTCCTATCTGTCTTTCATGGACAAAACTCTGCTTTTGATGTAATGGATTATTTAGGATTTTGTAGAAAGGCCTGAGGGATCTGCTGAAATAGGTAAAATGATTATGAGTGGCAGCCCATAATGTTGTACAGAAGTAAGAGAAACATTTTTGTGCTGTTTAAAAATTAAAAAAAAAAAAAAAGGACTAAAATGTAAGTTTGAATAATTGTTATCTCTAAGGTAGAAGCAGAACAGTACATGATCCTGATGTTAACTGTAATACCCTCCAGAACATTTGAAATAACCTTGCATTATTGATACAACAGACCTCAATGGAAATTACTTATTTTCTTCCTACTTTAAATTTAAAAATAATGGACTGATTGGACCAAGCAGCTGAAAGCACGAATAGTGCATCTAGAGTTTGTTTTGTGAATTATTAACACAGCTCAAAGTTAAAAATTTAGCTTTGCTTGGAAATCCACTCTCCCATTTAGCTTGACTGCTGTTTTCAGTTTACATTATTTCTTAGACACTGCTGTGAAACTTCCTCTTAATTGGAGGCTATTGTGGGACTTGAAGATTTTTGTTTATTTGAAAAATATAGTACGGCTGAATTACCAGGACCTATTAATATACATGTAGTAATGACATATAATCGCCCACAACTCCCTTGAGATGGCTCTGGCACAACAAACCCATTTCATTTTCATGAAATAAAAAGCATCCAATTACCTAAACAACCACCTATTTCACATTAACTACACACCAATAATCAGTCAATTGGGGGAATGTTTGTTTCTGCGGTACCTCATGCCTCACATCCTCTTTGTATACCTTTTTCTCTTCACTGTGGGCTTGATTCGTAGGTGGGGTAGTAGATTTACATCTCTCCATAATTCCTTTGGTAAAACTGTTCAGCATGTCTTCTATTTGTTCAACATGCTGGAAGCAATGTTGTTGCTTAGTATTATGCTGCATGAACTTGGGCCAGCAACCCAGCAGTACAGCCAGGCATATTTTTGAAGTGCTGCTGCATAGCAATAAACAGACCCTCACACATATATTTTTTTCCAAAAATGCAAGGAGCCCCATCTGTACTGTAAACGCAAATGTACATTTTTCATTATAATGCAATCTGTCCAAAGTTATCCTTATTATGTTTGTGGGACGTTGTCTCGGGAGCAGGGTGGGCAGAGGCTTTCCAGGAGAGGTTACGGATAACGTGCAGTACCCCACTGGGTTCCCTCTATTAATGCTCACTCTGCAAAAAGAAGCCTCAGGCACCAGGTCACATAATGTTCCAGCATCTCCCAGGAGGCCAGTATTGAAAGATAAAGGAAGGCAGAGGAAATGCCTGTATAAAATGCAGACTTGGCATGAATACTTTCACATCCAACTCAGAGATATTACGGAGAGCTGAAACTTGCTTTCTTTTCTCTGAACAAATCTCAATTTTTAGCCCTCAAAGAGACAAAAGGGCAAGTGGTGTTCCTCAAAGGTAGGAGTAGGATCTCAGGTACCGTATACGCTTCTGATTATTTCAGCAGCTGAAGGAGGCAGCACGCAATGAGAACAAAAGCGAGGTTTTGATTACCTGATCTTTACCAACGCTGCACTCTGTTGAATGTTTCCAATGTAAAGACGTACGTCTATCGATATCAATAAAAGGATGGGAGAATCTGTACAAGTAATGATCTTGGGCATCACTACAGAAACTCCTTTACTTCCCAAGCTTTCTCTCATGGGGCACAAAGTAAACACAACTGCCAGAAATTTCCATCCATCGCTAAAACATATGCCTAGGTCAGGAAAAAAAGGAAGTAGCTGCAGTCCTTCAACTTTACCACAATAGTTCCAGCTCAGGAAAACATCTCTTGCAACGTACCATTAAGGCCAACAAGACAAAGCAACCAAAATATCGTTTGAGAAACATCAACATTTTGCACTTTACCTACCTGCCACTGCACCAGGACAGATGAGGTCGTGTGGGGAGTTACTAACACAGAACTGGGTGGTTCACCTGGAACTAAACAAGAAAAAAAAAGGTAACCAAAGCAGCTATAGCAACAGGGGAGAAAATAGGCAACTTATTCATTAAAATTCTCTTTCTAAAAAAATCTTCTATCCCAGTTACTATGTGATGGGTCTCAAAAGCAACGCGGTAGATGTGAATATTGCAATCCAGGCAGAAGCCAACCACTTCTTGTACATCCCTTGCTCTACCTGTGGCCTTGGCAACTTGAGCAGGAACAAGAGCAAAGTGGAGGGCACAAATCTGGAGGAAGCTGCAGCATGTCAGCTGCTCACGAACAACTGGATACACATCTGAAAGAAAGTTAAACCAGCTACATATGTACTTAAAAGTGTACTCCCAAATTTTCCATGATATTTTTGCCACAGCTGGGGCAAACCTACCTTGTTTTTAGAGTCTGTGTCTCATAGTCACAGATTATTTTAGTGAGGACAGCTTGATTTACCATGGGTTAACCCATTTCTGTGCCCATGGCCTACAGCACATACACGCACACTATAGCAGTTGAAATGGGAAGAAGGGAAGGCTTATCAGGAGCTGACAGCCCTCCACAGCGCAATGCTCTAGCGGCAGCACCAGGTTTGCTCAGCAGAATAAATGTTCGGTTTGCTAAGGAGCTAAGAAGCTTTCTCAGTTTTCCCCATTGTATTGTCAGGAGGCCAAGCACAACTCTGGATTCACTGTAGCTAAATTCAAAGAGAACTGAAAATAAAATTTTCGATTCTGAAACAGTGAGTCAGTGCTGCCTCATTAGTACCAGTTAAAACCTGCATCGATACAGCAGCTGTTGCTCAGGAAGGTGGAGAGTCAGGATGTCTTTAAAAGGCTGCTAGGCACATTATTCAAGTATTACATGGGTTCTTGTTTAACTTAGGATACTCCTGAGCTCTGTCCCGTTTTTCTGTTTTCAAGATCACATTCTTTAAACATCCTTTGCAAAATTGTTTCTTAGTTTTGTATCTCAGTGCCATACTTAACTACTCAGTCCTTGAGCTGTGTGAAATACTGGCTATTTCCTAGCACCATATATACATACATGTATCCCAGTATTACCCCATTTCCCAGGCTAAGGGTAAATACTGATGCTTTTTCACTCTTCGCAGTGTTCCTTTCTCCATTCAAGACATCAGAGCTACTTCTGCATTCAGGCATTGACTTTATACAATCAAGGAATTAGAAGCTGATCTCTAAGGCTAAAAATAAAAACCTTGTCAATGTCATTCACAGTTTATTAGCCCTCATCTGCAGGATTAAATGCTCATGTTTCCAGGAGCTTCATACTCTTTCCTACTTACACCTCAGCAATTTTGCCATATTGCAGACTGATGTGGCTTGTGAGTGAAAACAATTGAAGAAACTTTTTCAAATGTATGCATGGTTCTACATTTATTTTTAATGATCTCTTGTAAATTATTCAATTTCTGCAAAGATAATGGTTAGTGCAGAGTTTGGAAGCCAATGAAACGGAGTTTAATTCCATTTTGAGACTCCTGAAAGTATGATTCATTATCAGAGGGCACAGCAGGACACTTAAGGCTGCCTGTTATTAATTCCGCCACATCTCATTACTACCTGTATCAGTCTCCTGTGAACAAAATTGCATTGGATGTTGAGTTTTCACTCCACAATCCCAGTGGAGAACACATTGCAGTGGGTCCAGCAAACCCAGGAGCACTGGGGAGCGCCCATCCCACGGCGATGCCTCTCCTCCTCACTTACCATCCTGCAGAGTTGTGACCGCCTCCGTCTCCGCACTGAAGTCACTGTCTCCGATGTCGTTGGTTGCTTTCACTCGCAGTTTGTAAGAGGTGAACGGGTTCAAGCTGTGGAATGTAAAAAATAAGGCTGAGGGATGAAATCTCCATACATCGTCACAACTTGCCTTAGAACAAGCCTCTACAGAGAACCTGCCCAATGGCAACTAAAGTCATTGAGCAGTTTGCCTCTTCTCCACATTCCCTTTTCTTTGCAGCCTCCTGCAGTTTCCTCATGACGTGGGGCTGTTTGCACCCTTGCTGCCATCAGCATCTTCTCAGATTTCCATTGGCCCGAGTTCCTGAAAACATGCATGGATTCATAGCTGAATCAGGCTCCAGAAAACAGCCACGAAGTTGCAGTTCATGGAGCAGCCTACAACGAGGGCTTGTCGGAAAGGACAAAATGTGCTGTTATTTGAGTTTTGCATGGTTATGCAAAACCTGGCTTTCAAGGTGCTTTGCCTGAGATATCCTCAAAACAGCTCCGTGGGTCAGCTCATCCTCCGTGCACAGATGGGGATGACAGGTAGAGAGGAGGCAGGTAAGGTGCCCAGGGTCATCCAGCGCGCAGCAGGCACTGGAATTCAGAGCACCAGCCTTCTGACTAATCCTCTAGACCATACCATTTGATCAGTGTGTTTTAACCTACTGAATTTCAAATTAATGCTATTACCTGGATTATTTAATAAAGACAGTAACAACAGGTTCCCTGCAGCTCTTTTATCTTTGCAGTGCTTTAAGATATGCAAAGAGTGATTTCCAGCTGACATAACCTCCGCAAAGCTGCTTCTGTCTTGACTTGGCAGGGGAAGGAGTGGGGGAGGCTGCCTTTTGGGTCACATGCGGAGGCTAGAAATGCAGAGCTGCAAGTTACGGGGGATTTAGCTAATTAATTGGTAGTGTCTAGCCATCAGCCGGCAGATACAACACTGACTACAAACCCAAGTAAAGTTACTTGTAAGGAATGATTAAACATCAAGGGATAATGCATTCTGTTGGGCAGCACTCTTGTATCATGCATGTACTACTCTTCTGGATTTTCACAGGAAAATGCTTTTAGCAAGGAGAAGGAATGTTTTTCAGTAGTGCCACCCTATTAGGACGCTGTTACTTACCTACAGCAACTTGAATAATTTGAATCATCTTTCTTGATCTTTTGTTTTCAGTAATGCCCATGTCAAGTCTAAATGACATAGTTGGTTTCCTTGATTTTACAGGTTTCAACTGGAAAGATACTGGGTATAATTTAGGGTTGGTGTAACACCTCCAAGGTCAATGAATCAGGTCTATGTTTGTACCTATAATTGCCAAGTTTTCATTTTTCTGGACAGTTAGATGGAAGGATAGCCACGTATCTTTATCTTCCGGCACATGACCAGTGAGCTGCCGTATACCACAGCCACTGATCTTTTTATAACAGACCTGAAAAATCTTTATCTGAATGCTTTGAATACTTGATTCTCCATAAGCTCGTGGCCTTTTAGAAATTATCTGATTTGTACTAGCTGATCAACAGAGGAAATGGACAGCAAAACAAGTACCTTCTCATAGACATTCAATTGCTTTCACAGATATTACAAGGACTTTAATTACAACGGCATCACTGAGGATATAATGAAGCCTGAATAACAAAGTTTAAACATTCTGATGCTATCTATAAACTTCAGTATGGAAAACACAGATAAAAATGGTTCTCATTTCATCTGGAAAAGCTTATACAGAGATAATTGCAATGCAGCATTGAGAGTGGATTTTAACATCAGTCACTGCTGAAAGGATTTTTAACTAGTAGTATTTTACAGAGCATTGTGTAGCTACGTACGGTTTAGCCTGACTAGCTTTATCTACGGTGCTGAGCTTTCAGGAAGGGCTTCAAAAAGTTGCACTGCAATCCAACTTTAATTAGATTTATTGCATGACCTTCAGCAAATCTCCCAACTGCTGTTCGTAACACCACCTCTAAAATGGGAGCGGTGACCTCACTTAACATCTCTCCCCCCAAAAGACTGTAAAGCTGAGTGATCCTTGCTTTGGTTTCCTAACTGTTGGAAGTGGAAAGTGTGGGAATTTCTATGCTAGCCTGGGATCATATGGTACCTTTCAATAATGCAGGATGTTGCCTCGTGGCTGATGGAAGAGGAGTAGGTTTGCCAGTCTCCATTTGGCAGTTCTCGCACTTGCACTGTAAAATATCGTATTGGTGAAGATCCATCACTTCCAGGGACCCACTTCAACAGCAAACTCCGTGACGACACATCACTCTGGGGGGTCATCACCTGTCTGGGAGGTGCTGGTCGTTCTGCAATTAAATCATAATTTCATCCCGTTTTGAGAGGAAATTCAAGCTAACTTAAAATTTGACAGCCTGATCAGATTTTCATAGTGGTAGTGCCACAGGAGGTTGAACTTTTGGGTTTGCCTCATGAAGTATACAAGCCATCCCATTCCTTAACCTTTTACTGCAAAGAGGAGTAGTAAAACTGATTCTTCTCTCCCTGCACGAAAGGTCACCATTGAATATACACCTTCGTAGCAACACGCCTCAAACTTGGCTGGGTCTTAGCCTGGCAGGTTAAGGAAGAATCATTAGGACCAGCAGCCAAGCAAACCAAAGAAATCTTTAATGCAATTCAGCTATTCTTCCAGCTGCAATTGCTCTTTTGATAGAATTTGCCTGTAAACTAGTTCACTTTTTAACCTGTGCTTACTACTTACTACCACGGGACTACGTTCTCTTTGTGCTATGTAGCATCCTCTTCCACCAGCTGCTCCCCAGTCGAGGCATGAGGAAGGGATGAGCTGGAACAGGCTGCAGTGTAGCAGAGTCCAAGCGCACGACTTACAGCTGATACTGAATTCCTGCACCAGCTCTCTCTGGCAAGGAACTGGGAACCATCAGCAGCTCCTGCTGCTGCTTCCAAACCCCAGCTTGGAGATAATGCAGAGCTGGGGCTTGAGTACTGGTTGCAGTTCACTTCCAGACCTCCCCAGTTCTTCCCTTCATACCCACTAACCTTGAACCTGCAAAGTCAAACCAGCCTGCGCCAATGCTGAAGGAGATCTCTCCAGAGTAATTAACCGTACACCTTTTAGATGAGGCAGGGAATGGTAATGCAGGTATAAGCATGCCAGTCCCCAACCGTTTCAGTATAGATCTCCTTTCCCATCACTATGTCTCCGCACTCCATCGATTTCAATAGAGAAACTCTATAGAGTGAGGAATAATTGTTTAATTGTTTATCATGAAGATTATTGATTCTGATTAAAATGTGTGGCATGTAATAAAGCAGAAATTGATTGGAGACACCGCGGTGACTTGCTTTTGAGAAGCAATTCAATTCAACTTCATCAGCACTTGTTTCCATAAATGCACCTCTGCCTGCCTGCTTCCTCACAGCTCTGTATGGCAAGCACTTCATTTCCCTGCCATCCCCTAAAACCATTTCCTATCTGTTTTGGCATTTCTCTGCAGCACGCTCGTGCTGACATCGGTGCCCAAAGATTTGTAAGCTATTAGCTGTAGGAAGCCCTCGGTGCCAGCAGCCTGCGAGCCGGAATACAATGCAAAAGGTCAATGCCTTACACTGACAGGCTGAGACAGGTATGCAGGGTTATTCTATCAGAGGAAGCGAGTGTCGTGCAGGGATTTAATACTCTCTGCTGATAAACTTTAACCAGCTTGCAGTTTTGGGCAGGTTAGATCTTGCAGTCAGTCTCTGATGATCGGGTTTCCTTCTGCTGCTAATGGGAGATCTTAAAATCTCCTGTATTGCAAAATATACTTCCTGACTGTTTGTACAAAAACCTTAGGACAAAGAGTTTATTTATGGGAGTTTAGCCACAAGCAAATGCTAAAGTGATCTGTTCATGCAAGAATGTAAGGCCAGGTCATATGACTCAACGGACTACTTTTAATTTCCTGCTACATCTTCTGACTCAGTTCCGCCCTGATCACTGGTGTTGGCTACTCTGAAGGGTATCACACCACTATGTAGATCTAAAGCACTACAGAAGAACCTCCAGAGAATACAGCCACAACACAACTTGGGAGCTGTAAATCACAGGTATCATTGTAAAATGTAAAGATTTATATTGAGATTATCCAAGGAATTTAAAGGACAAGAGTGACTAATTTTGCTAATTTTCAAGTGAATTTTTTTGCCTGCCTACCTTAGTATCAAGGACATTAAATGCATTTTTTATGAATGGAAATTAAATATCTTTTCACTCTAGAATATTTATTGTCATGTATACAAGTTTCAAGTTTGTTTGTTTATTTGCTTGTTAGCAGAATAGCTACACCAGACAAATTTCTTTATCATCTCCTCATGTCAACCGTGCTGATGGGAGATCACACATTTTTCTCTCTACACTTTACATATGGGATCACCTCAGCTCTCAGTGCCTTGAGACTCGGTTCCATAGCATGCATAGAGACACTGCAGAGCCATCCATTAAAAAGAGAAAGGGTTCATTTTATATTACTTGTCTTTTCAAGATAACCCTAAAGCATTGATAGCAACGAGGGATCGTTGTTCCTGCGGCGGAGCTAGGAGTTCTGCCTTGAGCTATTGTGTATCCAGGCACAGCTTGTGCACGGTCTGGGAAAGCTGAGCACATTTTATTGAAAAGGAGAGGCGCTGAAGTTTTGAGTATTCACTTTATTGGGCATGGTAGGTTTGTCTGAAACTTCCACATGTTGGACTTTAAACTTCCACTTTGATAGCAATCAGACAGGGGTGGAAGAAACCTTGAGCTGATACATCTCTTTGATGGACAGTATCTTTAGCAGAGGTACTTTAAGTTTCCTAATACAGCTCTAGTTTCTTTCCCTGAGTACTGCACTATTATGCACCGGGAAGGCCCTACATGACCTGAAGAGCTATGCTGGTGGGAGTTTTAACACCAACCAGACAGGATAGAAGTAGTTAAAACGCACACCACAGGTTCTCACTGCTGGTGGTTGAACGTCAGGCCAATGTCCTCTCTTCTTAGAAGTGTTATAGGAAAATAATAAGGAAGACATTGTGGGCAAATAGCATAGGAAATTCTTACTCTTGCACTAAATGATTTGCAAGGTGCGGAAAGGACTTAAAACAAGAGATTGCTTAGTAGGCACATTTTAAGAACTACAAGTAAATATAATTGGTTGTACTACAGCGCAAGACTTGAGCAAGAGCCAAGATCAGGCACACAAGCACATGCAAAAGTGCTAACAATAGTTGAAAGACATCTATGGAAGTCTGCCCTAGTTACCTGCTGAAGTGTGCTTCTCTCTGAACTGTGATTTTTGTTAATCACAGAAGTTGCATGGTTTTAATTTTTGAGGGAGAAGATTTCTTAAAGACCAATATCCAGACAGCACAATGGGTCAGAGCGACAGGTGGCACAAAATGCAGTGATGCTGGTAAAGTTACCCTAGCTAGTTTTGACTTTGCCAGCTCAAGGGATTAGATACATGCTTTGCAGTGGAACATGGCATACGGTACAAGACCAGAGGAAAACCTTCACTCTTGTTCTCTACCAATACATTCTCTTGTTAGCTCTGAATTTAAAAAAAAAAAAAAATCTTCACTCACAAGTAGAAAAAAAAAAATTTCTAACTGGTAGCTCTAGAGAACTGTTCTAAGACTGCAGAATCGAGCAGTGACTTCAGCCAAAGCATTAGAAACAAGCAATGATGCAGAGCAGATTCCGTAATACCTTTTATGTCTTTTCACGTTTGGTATCTAAGCATCTTTTATACACATTTCATGTGTATACATTCATTTATACACATGTAACTCCTGCTTTCTTCAAGTAGGTTCCCTACAGAACAGAATTTGAGTGGAGATTCAGAATGCAGATAACCATTTTATGGCTGATGCAAGAAGCGGAAAAATTCTGGGCAATCCAGATGCAAACCCTCTGCTCGAGAGTGCGGCACTGAAAAGACAGAGTAATTACTAACACATTAGGTCAGGACTGAGGTACAATGGAGGAGCTGTGGAGAAATCCTGCAACATCACCGCCTCTCATTTTGCGTTCCCTAATCAATATAATCATCCATCACTCACTTTCTTAAGATCGCAATCTTTCTAGAAAACGAGAGAGCTGGAAAAAAGATCTGACTGCAGAAGGAGGCTGCATATGGCCAATATAGCAACTGACAGAAAAATCAATCTCGGAGAGCCTGGCAGGTTAGAAGAACTGTGTCTCATAAAAGCCTGTCTTGCTCACCAGGTTTCTCAAATCATGATCTTGCTATGGTTTGGGGCAGGTTTACGGGGTGAGAAGGAAGAGGTGTACAGGTTGTAGCCTGTTATTAAAATTCCCCTAAGTGCAGCACAGGCTCCAAGGCAAGCAACAGAAAGTACCTCAACCTGTGGCTGCAAGCATTACCTCTTTTTTCTGTTGTGATCACTGTGGCTTCCAGAGGCTCCCCCCAGCCCTGCCTGGTCTTGGCAGATGTCCGAAAGATGTATGCTGACTCAGGGGTGAGATCCGTGGCAGTAAACTGCCTGACTGTTGAGCCAACCTCCACCGTCGTGAACTTGTTAGGGCTGCTGCTGGCCAGACGGTAGGCGATCTGATACCCTGAAATCACAGCATCAACCACAGAGAGAAAAAGAGTTAGGATTTTTTTCTAGCAGGGACAAAAGAGCACCAAAACGATTAGTTTATCATAATTATTTATCTGAGAGCAGAACAAAGTAATTTCCTTCCTTTAGCGCTATAAAGCTGCTATATGGCAGCCCTCCCCCAGACAGGCCCTGACCCTGGGGCACACACCAGGCTCTACTGAGTATTTCCTGCCATGAAACCGATTTCACTTTCCATCTTTCACACCAACAAGATACAAAACCAGTTTAATCTTTCCTGAGCATACCGGTACCTTTTTGGAAAGGCAAAGGAACAGAGTTGTGCAATTATTGTCACCTGATGAGACAACAGTCTCTTTCATACAGGCTTCATACTGCTCACGTAAAGGTTTGCTCCTGCTTTTTGCCCGTGCCTTTTTCTCAGCTCTCCCGCTCCCCTGTAACCGTACAGCGAGTGCCAGAACTGCCAATAAAAGCATCCTCCTTCTGTCGTTCACCACTGCTGCCCTTGCCCACAGCCCAAGGAAGAAGCCTGCAAGCTGTGAGGTCCTGCTTCAACCACACAGCACTTATAATCAATTTTGTTGAAGCCTGTAAGTGATAACCCCCATTCCAACCTGCCTGACAATTAGGAGTTCACAGTTTAGCCTGTATTATTAATGATCCAACAGTGCAAAGGAGGGCTTCCAGCGTTCTCACGCATCGCTAGCAACAACTGTCCCCCAAAGAGGATCTGCCAAATGTTCAAATTCATTCTGTAAACCCAGCAATTGAATCCGGCTCTCACTTCTGGAGCTCGACAGTAGCTTTCAGTCCAGCTGCTGACTTCCAAAATCAATTAATACCAGAACTGGTGTGGGGCTTTATTGCCCAAGCTGAATACAGTTGTATGAGTAAACGCTTCATGGAGTTACACAGGGCAGAGGGCAGCCAACAAATCCAAATCAACCCAGCTGAAAACAAAAAAGTCATGACATGATTCTGCCAACCCTCTGCTCATCTTCTGAATGACAAAGGGGTCTGCAGCACCTGAGACCATCTCCTTCTCTTGGAATTAATAACCCAGTTAGAGCTTGAACTCCCACCACATTTTGGCTGTAACAAGAACAAGGGGAGCCCAACCTGGCGTGCTTCATTCGTGAAGGTCAGTGCATGAAAACCGAGAGTTTTATCTTACCTGTGGCTATTAGACAAAATCAATGACATTTATTTCCCACTGTGCATACGCAACAATTGCCACATGCCCACTCACAGAAAAGGCACAAACAGAGCTTGAATGAATGCCATACTTGGATGTGGTGCACGCTGTCACAAACAGTGGAATTTAATTGGGATACAGATGGTATTAATTTCGGTGTGCCGACTCTCATAGTGCTGTTGACAATGCACCAGCATTTCCTTGTTGTTTTCTCTTCGGCAGGTGCCAGGGGATGTCGGGCAACAGCCATAGCCGCCTCACATGGAACGAATTGGATTGCACCGACACCTCGAAGAGTGACTTGGCTTTTCTGAGCACCTGTGACTTCAGCCCAAGCTCCCAGAGGCTGTGGTTACAAACAGATTTTGGGACAGAGCCGATTCACTCAAGTGCCTTAACATGCTCTGGGCACCCACGTTTGAAAACGGGCATCAGCAGCGCAAGGCTCCCAGCGCCCCAGCGGGCTCCCCCCGCGCTGCCTGGAGTACCCCCGCACGCCGCAGCCATCGGGGTGTCAGGCATGTTCCCACAGCAACGCTTTCACAGCTGGATGGATAGCATTAGATGATGAGATAAAAAGTGGTCTCATCCTTCAGAGCTCCTGAGTGTGCTCAGACCCCAGCAAAGTCTTAGGGTCTTACACTTTGAACATTTCATTTTTCCACCTGCAAACTACCTCCTTTTACCCAAGGCACCAGCTCTCCAATTACTGGTCCAATATATTTCACCAAAGTATTTCTGTACCTTTAATACTATAATATTTTGATCTTTAAAGTCCACAGAAAGTCAGATAGCAATGGGGAGAAAGAACATCAATCCTTTTTGTTTATATAGACATGAAGAATGTGGGAGTGAAAACCCTGGTGCAGGATCTTACTAAGGGGGAAAAATAGTCAAGAAAAGCACTGGGGAAACTTTTACAGTAGGAGAGGTGAAGGAAGAAGCAACTAAAGATGGCTAAAGAAGTTTGATAAAGAGACATAATACGTAAAGAATAAGACCTGGAAGGAAACAGAGAATATTAAAAGAATAGAAAAGTTGATTTATCTAGTTATTAAAAGATAAGTATGGTATCTGGGACATATCTCTGTTGAGCAATTTCCTCTCTTTTCTAAACCTTTGTAAAATATAAAGTGTAGTTAAAATGTAAGGAGGGAATAGAAAGATAAGTATTTACTGCTAAATGGTGGTACTCATGCTGGAAAGCCAATTACAAACACGCTCAGATTAGGCAAAGGAGCACATACATATCTGGGCCATTACAGTAACTTACACAAGAGTGGATCCTTGGCTAGTGTAAAAAATAATTTAGCCATGAGAAAGAAGAAATCACTTGTCACGGCCTGTCTCTCTGACAGGCTCCACAAACACCCTTTCAATGCATCCCTGTGAAAAACAGTATCAGCCCTCACTGTCCTCTCCTACATCTGCCGTGTTGGCTGACAGTCTGGGTAAATATCTATTTTCCTGGATATCTCAGGCAGAGTTTACACAACCAGAGCTGTCACCTTTACAGATTTCCTCAGAAACTCAACACTTCCCTTGGTCTGATTCAAAGGTACATATCCAACCTCTGCATCTGAACTCAGCTCTCTCTTAGTGCTACCTGAGAGATACCCAGTATCTTCATTTCGATCCCCTACATCACCTCCTATTAGCCAGTTTGGGACAGCCGGGATACATACTGGCATAAAAAGCAACACTTTTCCTTTTTCTGAGTGACACAGAAGACACAGTATTTAAACTACAGCTTGGGTAATAATTAGGGCTAACGCAAGATCAAAAAGATACAGTTATTAAGTTGACGAATTTCAGTAACAAGGGATGGGAGAAGACAGGAAATGTTAAGTGAAATCAAACGAGGCAAATCAATAGAGGTAAATGGAAAGTGTTCAAAGAGAAATTAATGTATGCTCAAGGGCTATAAGAGGCAATAACTGCAATTGCTGCAGTGAAGGAATAAGGAAGCTTCCTTCCCTTACTAGATTACAACAAAAAGATGTTGCAGATATCTTAGATTTAAAAATAAAAAATAAAAAATCAAAGGTTATGAATGAAAGTAAAATCTTTAAAAGGTGATCAGGGCAAACTTTTTTTGGGAAAGGAATATCTTACAGAATATGAAGTATCTAAATGATCAATAAGAAGATATATATTTTTTTTTCCCCCCATATAGTGTCAGATCCCAAATTTCTTCTGCTACTGGGAGCTCTGCCGTTCACCAGGCCAAAACAGCACACGCTAAAAACAACCAGCCCTGAAAGATCAACTCTTCAGGAGTTTATTTATTCATTAAACTAGGCTTATTTTTTGCATTAGCATCTTTTTAAGTATTTTTTGCACAACTGCAAGCAGTTTCATGAGCTACGCTTTCTGAACTCAATAAGTGGCAACAGTCTGAACTGCCTGTTAAAAGTTAGGTCATTGTAACACAACCAGTGGATTCCCCAAAGCAAACAGGCAGGAAGATGACAACACACCATGAATATAAAAAAGCTTTCAAGCTCATCACCATACAAAGCCCTTCAGAACTGACAGCACCCATTCATGCAGGCCATGGTGCAGCAGAGATACAAACACTTATTAATTTGTCACAGAACTTAGGGAAAGCCAAATAATATTGGGAGGTTACGGTCTGTCTAGTGGAGCAGCAATCCAGTTTGTTTATTTTACTGCTTATCTGTTTAAGGGCCAGCGGGTGTGCAAATGCAGTCTAGGATCAAAATATGAATTTGCAAACATGGATTACATCCAATTTTGGTTCTATTTCTCAGTGGAGTTCTTACACTCTTTTGCAATAAGCTTCAGGTAAATGCTAAATACAAGGATACCATAAGGAATACTAACCAGGGCCTGGAAGGATGCGGGTTGAGCTCTTGTTTTCAGGGGAAACTCATAGCTAGAAGTGCATATATGCACATTAATACATCATTTTTCTTTAATAGTATTTGAAGGAACTATGTTGGGCGCTAGCTGAACCGAGTGCAGAAAAGAAGACAGAGTGAAGCCTCAGATGGTTAGTGTAACATTCCCAAAAGGAGAAATGGAAATACTTAGCAGTCTTCCACAGTAAAATATTTAAACAAACAAACAAACAAGTGGTTTTTGCTCTTGATGCCTGCCAGTATTTCATCCTGCTAATCTCTCTGTGAAATTCTAGAACATGTTTTGATATAGATTACAAAAATGTTAGCTGCAAAGGTGCTTGTATACTCTGAGGACAAAGCTAGCAGAGCAGGAACATTGGTTCAAGGGGTCTGAATATAAATTGCTCTTGCAAAGCAAGTATTTTTTTCTTTCCAATGCCACTAGTGAATAGAAGGGCACTGTGCAAAATTATGTTAACTTCTTTTTTCCAACAGCTCCACTTCAGTGCACTTGACTGTGAGGGTTACAACGGTGTTTTGAAAGTTCATTACAGTAAAGAGGTTTACAATGTGTACAGGAAAAAAAATAAACTTGCAACCTTTACTTAGAATGCTACACATTGTTTTTTATCTATTTGTTGAAGCACACCTCTCTTAGGAAAGATCACAGAAGTACCCAGCACGAGCAATTTTTACTTTTTCTCTCTGACATTGGCAGCTAACTACTTCAATATTTCTACTACCAAAAAAATAAAGGAGTGAGAACTGTTGAATAAAGACAATGGACTTCAAAGAGGTGGATGGGGGGAACTGGCAGGTAACGTCCCCCTGGGAAGGAATTCTAAGGGAAAAAGGAATTCAGGTTAGCTGACAGTTTTAAAAGAGAGAAAAAAAAAAAAGGTACAACTATCCCAATGCAGACAAAAGATGTTAAGAGGCCAATATGTTTGCATTCAGAGCTCACTAATGACCTGAAAATCAAAACTGAATTGGACAAAAAGTTAAAACAGGACACATGTCTAAGGGACTGTATAAATAGACAGCACGAGCATGTAGGGACAAAATCAGAACAGCTAAAGTGCAAAGTGAGTTATAACTTAAAGAGCATCAAAGGCAACGAGAAAGATTTTATAAATACATTAGAAAATCGAGAGACAGAGGAGGACAGGTCAACTAGTGGGAAGAAAAGATGAGCACAAGACAGGCAAGAAAAAAAGAACGGAAGGCCGACACCTCCGATGCTTCATTTTCGCACACACACACAAAAAGTTGATGCTGACTAGATACTTAACACAAATTAAAACTGACAACAATATAAGTAGGGATGTAGGCTAGAATAGAGAACAAGTTAACCAATATTTAGTTAAGCTAGATGCAATCAAGTCAGAACGGCCCAATGAAATTTGCCCCGCAGTGGTTATATGACTAGCTGGAGCCACCTCCAAATAATTAGTGATTATCTTCAAGAACCTGTGGAGGACAGGTGACATCCCAGAATGTTACAGAGGAGTAAAGAGATCACCCTGTCTTTTAAAATGGGGAAAGATTGACCAGAGGAATTATGGACAAATCAAGCTAAAGTTCAATACCCAGAAAAATCGGGGGGGGTGGGGGGGTGGGAAGAGCCAACATATAAATCCATGAGGATAATAATGTGCCAAGGAATAGCCAGTATGTATTTGTCTGGAGCAAATAATAAATAGTAAATAATCTATTTTCCATTTTGATAGTGTAATTGGCCAGCTGGAAAGAGTAGATATGATCTGTGTTGACTTTAAGTAAGGCTTTAATATGGTTGCAGAAAGGCCCATCAAAAGCAAACAAGAGAAGCTGAATCTAAGAAAAATATTACACATTTTGACTTGAATACTTAAAAAAAAAAAAGAAGTAAAAATGTTGTTATCAATAGTTTGCTAACAAACTGGGAGGACATATTCATATCAAGTAAGCTCTCATGAGACTTCATGAATGAGTCTGGTTCTGTTGAATTTTTTCATTTATGACCTGGCTGATGGAATTCCCAGGCTACTTGCAAACTCCAAAAATGAAACCAAATTGTGAGTGGCTGTGTGCACTTCAGAGGACAAGAGTGTCATTTAAAGTGATCTTGATAATGAGGAGAGACAGTCTGGAATCAGTAAGATGAAATTCAATAAAGGCACCTGCGAATTATCACTCTTACAAATTAAAAGCTTAATGTACATATAAAAGAGGGACTGACTGACCTGGAAGTGTACTGCACAAAAAGGGTACGAATTAATAGCAGGTCATAAACCTACTTAGTTACATCATTACTGTTGCAAAAAACTCAAGTCAGGACAGTATCGAGTATTCTGGGATGTGCTACCGGGAATGGACTGTGCAAGACATCGGAAACAGCAGTCTACATGTTGAGCATGCCAAGCATTCTTTAAGGGACATCCTTTCCCTTGCCTTCCAATCCTGCATTTATATGATTCTATCATCAACGTAGTGGCAATGAGTAAGAACAACTGAGAAGGGGATGCATTACACAAAGCACGCTGCAAAGACAAAATAAAAGAGAGTTCCTACTCCGTCGAGCTTGCAACTTCAGCAAAGGCGGCTGACAAAGCACAACAACATGAGACATTAGAACACAGTTGGGAGAGCAAAATCTCTTTTGTACTTTCTCATCACTTCCATCAAATGATTTTTTTTCTCCTTAACCATATCCTGTGATTCAAATCCCAGCCTCTACTGAGTGCAAGTTCTAGGGCACACAGTTCCTTAAAAAAAAGCAACAAATCAAACCCACAAGACAACCTGGAAGCCAAGCTTTCTCGAGCTGCAGAGAAACCCTGCGTGGATGTGTCTCTGACAGCTAATCGCTGCCAAGCTTCACACGGACTCTTTCTCATGCTCAGAAAATCCCTGCAGTGTCTGCCTTCGGATCCCATTTGATGTTTTCCCCGCATCTTCAGGTGTCAGGATCACTTTGGGAAACTATGCACCTGAGCAAACACTTGGAGCTCTTGATTCAAGATTTAAATGCAATGCAAGACCGGTCCTTTATTTAAAGGGAATGCCACCATCGCAGTAGCATTTGAAGTAGGCATGCTCCAGCCCAGCAATGAAGGCTTTAGGTAATATTGCTAAAAGACTACACGCCAGCCTGAATGAATGCAGTGAAACTAGAAGCAGAAAGGCCTGGCAGACTGAGAACTAAACAAAACCCAAAAACTTTTGCTCCTCTTTTCACAACTGAGGCAAATCTTTACTCACCAGCTAGAACTACTGTAAAATGTGTTTAACATCAGCAGAAAACACAAAAGTGCTGGGTAACTATTAGCTACTTTGATTTTAGAGGCAAGAATGGATTCTTACATTGTAAAAGTGTTCACATTTTAAGTAAAAGTAGTGGCTGGTGTACATATTGCAGAGGCAACCCAAGAGTTATGAGAGCAGGAAGATAAGAAGGTTGTTCACAAATTCCTGTCATACCTTGCTGCCTCCCTTGATGAAAAGCCAAATATGATTTAACTCCTTGCAACCTGCCATACAGTATTATACAAAGGAAGTAATAAAATGGAAGCACACATGAAACTGAAACGTTGGGCATGCCCGGCAAAGGCGAGTGGGGGGAAGGAGGGGAAAATCCAGCTCTCCCCTGCTGCAGTTCTACAGGCAGTTTGCCCAACAGCCAGTCAAACCAGTTAGAAAACCCAAATGCAGATGAGAAGAGATGACAATTCAAACACAGTGCCATGAATGACACGTAATTCTGGCTCAGGAAAACACACACCATGCAGCCGGGCAGACTTTTCCTCCTCACCATGGGGTACTATGTCTCTCAGCTGACACCAACATATTTTCTTTTCTTTAGCCACACATTTGCTTATGTGTGGTTTCTAATCCGATGTACAAGGGGAAGGAAAACCCAGCAGCCACCGCTCACTCTGGTCTCCAGCCCTCTCCTCCCAGCCCTGGGTTTCCCTCTCCCTCTTACCCAGAATAACTCCGTTGGGCTCCTCCGGCGGCTGCCAAACAATCCGTACAGATGTCAGCCTCACCTCGGGGAACACCAGCCTCACAGGTGGCCCAGGCGCTGGAAAGAAAAATGGAGATAGTGCTAGCACGCGTTGCATGCCAGCGGAGTGACAGATTTTCTGCTTGCCTTGCATAGAAGGCAGCCCAAGCTGTATCTCACCAATGATAAGTAGACGGTTAGGAGAGCCTATGGACGTACATGATACACATGTATTCTGAGGAATCCTGTCTATGGTCAAATGCCTCCAGCACCCACGGACACCAAACACGACACAGAACCAGTGCACCCTACAGTGTTTTACGGCACCTGTGAAATGCGTTTAGTAGGATGCTCTGACAAAGGAGCTCTGACGCTTGCGAGAGTTATCTCCCAGCAGCGCAGCGAGGAGTCCCCACGAGCCAGCCGCATCACCGCTTCGTAACTGATTACATGCTATGAAGCAAGTCACTAAGCTGCTTTACAGAGAGTTATATGTCAGCTTAATCCACTTCATACCTGTTGGAATTGAATAATATCTCCTCTCTCGGACATCAGCACCAGCTTTGAATTGCCTTCTGATTTTACATGTGCATTCTAAATACTTAGGTCTGAGCAGGAGAACCTGAGGCAGGTGAGATGCACATTAATACAGATGGCTGATGGCTGCACTGACCATCCCAGGTTCACAAGGTGAGGAGATGCTAATTCATACATTAGCATCTGCAAAATTTCCCCTTCAGCACAAATTCCACCTGCATTACACCCCTGATGATACTTTTAATTAAGTAGAGCCCAGAGGAGACACAACATATTTACGTCAGGGATATGGAGATGGAAGAACAATTTGTATCATTTGCCAACACGCATTTAAGGAGGCAACTGCTATATAATGGAGTTATCTAAAACAGTTTTAAATATTTCTCATCATAGTCTGATATCTACACTTCAGTGAGTGCTTTTTCCCTCCCTGCAGAGTTCTGCTAACAGTAATTTCTTTTTGTTTCCTTTCAAAGAAAAGCCAAGTCCTCACACAGGCAGTATGCTGAGAAAATGGCTAAAAAATGTCAGCAAGCTGCTGTCCCTGTTCCCGTCCCCGTCCCAGTCCCTGCATGCTCTTACTCCTTCCTTGCACTCCACAGAAAATGTCTTGTTAAGCCAGAAGTCTGAATGTGCTTTCAGCCCAACCAAATTACCGTAATGAAGTTGTTTGTAGAAACCAATGTTTATTCCATTACTATTGTGAAAAGATTTTGATGAAAAAAGAGAAATCTTTTTTTTTTTTTTTTGTGTTCATCTTCATTGGGAGTAAGAAACAGAAGCCTCTGCACTGGTATTAACCCTCATTTAATACTGAAAAGGTAATGAAACTAAACGTAACTTTTGCATCTGCAAAGCCAAAAATATTTGAAGAGTTGAACTAAATTTCTA